CCTTTTCAAACTCAGGCCATGACAAATTTGCCCATGCCTGTTTTTTCTGCCCATTACAAACTCCCATGTGACATAAACGTACTTCCCTCAAAAAAAAAAAAGGGCATTTGCGGTCACCTCCAGAGGTGACCGCAAAATCCCTTGCCCCGCCGCTTCCCAGGCCGCTGGCAAATGGGCACAGGAATAAATACATTTGCGAATTTGGTAGCTCCGTGTGACTGGCCCTATTCCATTTTTTCAGGGATTTTGGGAATATAGGTCCCCGTGTGTTACATGCTGCGCCTGCACACGAGGGTCATTTTCCAGGCTCTGCGTCCCTCAGGCTGAAAGCCTGAAAACCAGGGCCTACAGGCCCCGTGTCTGTTCAGCTCGAAAGCCTGGGCCTACAGACCCTGTGTCGTTTCAAACTAAAAATTGCAGTAGCCTTCTTAGCCTGAAACGAAGGGCCATTTTCGGTCTGTCATCAGACCGACCTGCCCCGAAACTCAGGCACCCAACCAGGGTTTTAGGAATAGGCTATTTTTGGCCTGATCCCACAACAGCTGCAGCGCCAGCCATTGGCTCAGCTTGGCATTGGCAAGAGCAGCCTCCTGGACTGCCCGCAGTGCAACTGCAGGCAGTCGGAGGCAGTCAGGAGGCAGGCCAAGGTAGTACATACGGACTTCCCATGCACTTCACGGGTATGCAGGAGGCAGTCAGTAGTCTTCAGGATTTGGCAGCAGCACGGTGGAGGAGCGCTGGGCACTAGTAGCGTTAGCTGTAGTCTTCAGCGCTGGGCGCCATAGCAGCTAGAGTACTACTAGAGAGAGAGAGGTTGGGCGGAGGCCAGGAGGACTTACCTGCAGCGCCGTTGCTCCAGCTTCGTCTTCGAGGTACCTGCAGCACAGTGCCAACTCTACAGGTTAGTACCTAGCTCGTGAGAGAGAGAGAGTTTTTCTTCTTCCTCTTCTCAGTCCACCATTTCCTTCTCACCCTCTCGCTATCTGACTTCACTGCGTCAATAGACTACGAGAGAGAGAGAGAGAGAGAGAGAGAGAGAGAGAGAGAGAGAGAGAGAGAGAGAGAGAGAGAGAGTTTGGTGACATTTGGATCCAGACTCGACGTTGGACTTAAGACATCTTGAAGAGGGATTATTTGGGACTCGTAACGAGACTTGGTGTTGACGACTTTCCCATCTCCCCCTTCCTCCTCTTCGTCTGATCCCCTCCTCTTCGTCTGTGTATGTCTGGACCTGGCGCCCCTGTCCTGTGTATAGCGTCAGGCTCCTTCACTCCTTGTGATGGACATGATGTATGTTTGGTCTGTGTTGCAACAATGACAGGGCTAGTCAGTGGTATTCAAGCACTCTGTTGCGCTGCCTTATATTATGTGATAGAGGTCAGTCTCGGCCAGGTCAGGATTTGTATCTAAGTCTTCCCTGCGCTATAAAGCACCATTTTGTATGTATCGGAAACCTGCGCTATAAAGCACCATTTTGTATGTATCGGAATGCACATTGCCTGTTGAGATTCTACTTGCACTGCATTGTCCATTCAGTCCTTTTTATCACATTGCGGCTCCTTGGTTATTATGTGCATCCTCCATCTGGGCATGTAACAGTTGGTATCGGAACACCGCACGTGAATCAGGACAACCTGATTTGACACGTGTGCGGGGACTAGGTAGCTGATTAGTCTTGATTGATTGATTAGAGCACACTATTTARCCCCCAAAATCACGATTTTGACCTCACTGTTGAAAATCGATTTTTTTTTTCTTTTTTTGGATTTTGTTTTCTCGCTATTTCTGTTGTGGGAAAACGCAATAGCGCAACATCTAAAATTTCCATTTTCGTTTTCCTTCTGAAAAGTCGAAATTTCGTTGTTGAAAATCCGCAATATCTTTCTTTTCGAAAATTTTGATTTCCTGTTGCATTTCCCGTTATTTGGAAATTTAGAATAAATTTTTTCGAAATTCGTTTTTATGAAAACGGTACGGGAAATCCCTCCTGCGGTTATCATTTTCCAAAGTGCGCATCTGAGTAATTCCGAATATTTTGCTTTCAGGATTCTTTTGTTCGTTGTTCTATAATCATTTGCAGTCTGAAAGTTCGAGATTTTTTTCTCATTGGTAATTTCGAACTTCAAGGGAGATTGGGAGACCTATTGAACTTGCAAAACTCGGGATTTCTATTTTCTCGAATTTTTTTTTGCAGAGTTCAAACTTTTCTTCTTGATTAGTGGCTCCTTATCTGGGCGATTTTTCCCACCCACCCCCCACCTATGTTGTTGCCCCTCTCGTTTTATCTTCTCTAGTTGTCTTCGGGTACCCCTGCAGCGGCATTGGTAAGTTGCCACGTCAACAGACCACGTCAGCAGGATGCGTCAGCAGTACCATGCAGCGATTGGTAGTACCACGTCAGCACGCCCCCGGCCTGGTCTATGCTGTTGTGCTCACAAACAGCCATCATGGACCAGAAGTCCAGGGAAAAGGACGAGGCCTATCAGGCCGGATGCTGGACTGGAGTACAGAAACCAAGAGACGGGCGGATGACACAGCAACCGCAGCGAAGAAGACGACAGACGACACCGAGAAGGCACGTCTATTGGCAATCGAACAGCAGTGGCAATAAGACGAGGCATCAGCAAGGGCTGCCGATGAAGAACAAATTCAAGGACGCGAGAAGATATTCGGGAGAGAGCGAGCCTTGCTCACAATGGCAGCGGAATGGCGGACAGAGGCCAAGAATGGAAAAATGGAGGAGAGTGAAAACAAGATCGCTCTTCTCCTCTCCGATCTCACAGACCTCCTAACCAAGTGGATTGCACAACAGGAGGACATCCACAGCCTTGACGACATGGTTCAGCAGCACAGACGGGCGTTAGATAACCGCCTCCAGCAGCTGGAACAAACCATCGCCACCCCCGTTGCTAGCTCCTCCAACACCTCCGATCGCCTCGAGGCTTTGGAGATTGACGTCGGATCCCTCAAGGACGACGTGCAGTTACAGCACACCGCGACACAACAGTTGGAGCAGCGCATCTGTACTGCAGCCGCCAACCCAAGTTCGGGACGGCGGGAGTCAACTCCAAAGTTCGATGGTCAAGAGATCTTCTGTGATTCGACGAAGACGGACCCGATTCTATGGTTCCGCAAGTTTGAACTCAAGTTGCAGCTCTATCTAGTCAGTGAATACAAGCACCACACGTACTTATACTCCCGGTCGGGAGGCGCATGTCAAGCATGGATGGACAACCTCTTGTCCAAGTATGGGGTGGTCACTGCAGAGTTGCACACCAAGATCAGCTGGGATGATCTAAAGGCGGCGTGGCATAAGCGGTTTCAAGTAGAGCCGCCGGAGATCAAGGCAATGGACAAACTCATGGTCTTCGAACAAGGTACGTTGCCGAGTACTGACTGGATTGCCGAGTACCAACGCTTGACAACCGTCCCAGACATTCAAAATGGGCTTCAAAGCCATCCGCCACTATTTTATCTCAAGCTCATGTCCCACATTGAGCAATGTCTTGACTCACGTCGAGGACACACTAACGGCAACAGCGGAACTATTTGACAAGGCCGCGCATATTATTGTCACGAACGAGGAGGCTAAGAATCTGCGTTCGTATGTAGCAGGCCCGAACAGAGATCAACATCGGCCGAAAGTGGCCGTGGTCGTGGCGGCAACATCGTTTGACCAAACTAGCGAGGCCGTGTCTGCCAATGAATGGGATAGACTCACAGCCGCCCGGGAAGGTGGCCACCCCGGCAAAGGCCAAGGACACGACAAGGCGAAGACAAACACCGCATCTAGCCCCGGGCCTGACGCAGAAGCTCCATCCCCATGGTCCTAATACAGTCTCTCCGAGCAAGCATTCCAAGCGCGCACAAGATTTCACTATTGCCTATGGTGCAACAGCGATCTCCATGAGACAGTGGTCTGCTCGTCAAAAGGCAAGGGCAAATCGGGAAACTAAGCACCGCCGGGAGTGACTCAACGACACTCTCGACGCCTTCGGAACCGGTCACTTCGCGGGTGACCGCCCTTCGTTCTGAGGCACATGCAAAAGTCGATAGTCCTCCTCTTCTTTATTATTTTGAGGACTATGCTGCCCGACTCGTTTCTACGATGGGTACTCAAGCTCAAGAACAAGACGTGTTTGCGGCATCTTCTCCGTCTGACAGCGGAGACTTATCGTCTTCAAGTGGTCCTTCACGGGATTTGGCGCGCAAGTTCAACATAGAGGTATTGGACCCACTCACGTTCGAGGATTTCGCATGGCTTCCTCTCCCGACCATGGGCTGCTTACCTGGACCGCAATGCGCAGCATCATGCGTTCATCTCCATACGTACTTATCCTTCTATGTACCATCAACTTTGTCGACGGATGACGAAGTCGTGGTGGGGGACATCCTTGCATATGTTACCAAGGTGGCCCGCGAGTTTCACAATCAGCGGTACAACGACAACAACGCACCGCTCCTCTATGTCCGCATCCAAGTTGGGCAAGCGTCCTGTAACACTTTGTTGGATAGCGGCACGTCTCGCAATTTTATGAGCCAAGCCTTTATGCAAAGGGCTGGCCTTGGTGCACAAGTTCGAAGGAAGGCAAACCCGACGGCGATCAGGTTGGCGGACATAAGGACGCAGCAACCCGCGACTTATCGACTGCTACATCGACGTCGTACCGGTGTATTTCTCACGACGCACCTCATGCATGCGAACCGGTGACGTTCGATATTTTGGACACAGACTTCGACATCATTCTAGGAATGCCTTGGCTTGCAAGTGCGGATCACACGGTCAACTTCCACCGGCTGACTCTTACCGTTCGCGATGCCTTCGGCGCCAAAGTGGCGTGTACTATTCCTCTTCCTTACCCTTCGATTCGGTGCCGAGTGGTGACGACCAAATCATTCCAGGCGACTTGCGCTTACGAGCAGCCCGAGAAAATCGACCTATGTTTCCTACGGACCGTCGCGGTAGCCGACTCTTCACTTAGGGACTTCTCTTCGGACCCCTGGGTGGTGCGGTTGCTGGACGAGTTCGCCGACATCTTCGAGTCAACTACCGGTGTGGTGCCGGATCGGCCGATCTCTCACGAGATCATTCTTGAGGCCGGTGTCTTGCCACCGAAAGGTTGCATCAATCGGATGACCGAGGAGGAGCTTAAGGTCCTCCTCACACAACTCGACGACTTGTTGGTCAAGGGCTGAATCCACCCTAGTAGCTCCCCATATGGAGCACCAGTTCTCTTCGTCCGGAAGAAGAACATGGATCTACGATTGTGTATTAACTACCAGAAGCTCTACGCGCAAACTGTCAAGAATGTGGGGCCTCTTCCTCGTATTGATGATCTTCTTGAGCGATTGGGCGGTGATAAGTATTTTTCTAAGCTGGATTTGAAGTCGAGATATCATCAAATCTCGATCCGGCCGGATGATCGCTACAAATCCGCATTCAAGACGTGGTACAAACATTTTGAGTGGGTGGTCATGCCTTTTGGCCTCACCAACGCCCCGACGACCTTTCAAGCGGCAATGACCAACGAGTTTCGTGCAATGTTTGACCGGTTCATGCTCGTCTACTTAGACGATATTCTCGTCTATAGTCGGGCATTGGAGGATCATCTGGGGCATCTTCGACGAGTGTTGGAGACGCTCCGCCGCGCCAAGTATAAGACCAACCGCGACAAGTGCGAATTTGTCTGGCAAGAGCTGGAATATTTGGGTCATTTGTCACACCGGATGGCATCAATCCGCTATCGGACAAGATTCAAGCCATCTAGGAGTGGTTAGAGCCACGGAACGTCACGGATGTTTGCTCTTTCTAGGCCTCACCGGCTACTACCAGCGTTTTATCAAGGGCTACTTAAAGATCGCGGCCCACTTGACCAAGCTTCAATGCGAGGATCGACCGTTTGACTTCGGAGAGGATGCACGGGAATCATTTTTGGCTCTCAAAACCGCGCTATTATTTATGGAGGTCTTGCGCATATACGACCCACTTTTGGCTACGCGCGTCACTATGGATGCATCCGGCTATGGCAATGGTGCCGTCCTCGAGCAACACGATGGCGTGCACTGGCACCCGGTCAAGTATTTCAGCAAGAAAGTGTCGGTCTCGCACTCCATTGACGATGCGCAAGAACGAGCTCCTCGTCTTCGTCCACGCGCTCAAGCGGTGGCGACACTTCCTCCTTGGTTGAAGCCAATTCCGATGGGTAATGGACAACAATCCGTTGGTCGTTTACAAGACCCAAGACACCGTCAACAGCACCATCGCTCGATGAGTCGGTGAATGACTTTCATCGACCAGTTCGACTTCTTTCCCGATCACATCCCGGGGAAGTCGGACCGTTTTGCGGATGCTCTTTCACGGCGTCTGGAACGTTGTATCGCGGTCTACTCAACCTTCGAGATCGACAACGACCTGTGGCCCTGTGGGACAACTTCATCCGCGGCTACCAAGCCGACCCCAAGTTTCGCGACAAGTACGTGAATTGCTCCTTTCCTAATCCGGCGCCTTCTCACTACCAGATCCAAGAGGGGTCTTTGCTTGTCCACACACGGGGAAGGACCCTCTTTGCGTACCGAGTGACCCTCACTTGCGTACACGGTTTCTTGGCAAGTTCCACGATGCTCCCGCCACCTGACACTTTGGAGTCAATCGCACGATTGGCCGACTTCATGAGCGATTTTGGTGGACCGGCCTTCTCGGTGACGTCACACGCTATTGCGAGGCATGCGAGGTTTATCGACGCTGCAAATCCCGCACCATCGTCCGTATGGTGAGTTACAACCATTACCGGTCCCTTTCAGGCGAAGGGAAGTAATTGCCATGAACATTACCGGCCCGTTCCCCAAGCATAAGACCGGAGTGGATGGGATTCTTACGGTGGTCGACCGACTCACCAAGTTCGCCATGTTTTTGCCTTGCCGCTATCATGCCAAGGCACCGGAGTTGGCCGAGGTCCTTTAAGCCGGTTGGATTCGAACCAAGTATTAGCCCAAGGAAATCGTCTGCGACCACGACACTCGGTTCATGTCCGATTTTTGGTTGGCGCTCATCAAACGATGAGGCTCATCTCTGAAGCCAAGTTCGGCTCGCCACCCCCAAACCGATGGCCAAACAGAGAGGGCGCATCAGACCGCACAGCTTCTCCTTCGCACTCTCATCCGTCCCGACCAAAAGGATTGGGTAGAGCAGCTGCCGGATGTCGAGTTGGCCTACAACTCGTCCATCCACCCAGCTATCGGGATGTCGCCGTTCGAATTCGAGCACGGCTCGCCGGTCACTTCGTCGTTGGACACCATCATTCCACGAACGACCGAGAGCGACAACCATCTTCTTTTCTTCCACAGGATGCAAGAGCCACTTGTCAAGGCACGCCATCAGATGGCGAAGACGCAGCAACGCATGAGCCAACAGGCCAATCGCCAGTGTCTTCCTTGTCCATTCTGCGCCGACGATATCGTTTGGGTCTTTGTCGCGGAATTCAGCCTTGAACAAGATATCTCTCGCAAGCTCCTTCCGAAATGGATGGGGCCTTGGCCGATCGTGGCACTCGCTGGGGATGCACCCGAGGGACCTTCCTTCACCATTCTGGTCCCCGCCCACTTCCCCGTCTACCCGGGCTTTCATTGCTCCAAGTTGGCTCTTTACACCCCAGCGGAACATGACGATTTTCCCAGGCGACGATCACAAGACCCACCCTTTATGGACGGTTTTCAAGAGGTCGACGACATCATCTCCCAGCGACGCTACGGCAACAGGCCAACCGAGTACTTGGTACATTTTGCATACTGCAGACACCGAGTTGACCGTTGGTTGATCCGTGCGGACCTTAAAGCAACAGCTCCAGACGTTCTCGCACACTACGAACGCAAGATGCAAGGCAAGCCGGTCTCTTCGGATCCACACCGCACCCACGTCCAGGTTCCACTTTCAGATCGTCACCTTTGCCCTCGCCCCGGCTTGACTTCATAAGGAGGGGGGGGTGTTACATGTTGCGCCTGCACACGAGGGCCATTTTCCAGGCCCTGCGTCCCTCAGACTGAAAGCCTGAAAACCAAGGCCTAGAGGCCCCATGTCTGTTCAGCTCGAAAGTCTGAAAAACAGGGGCGTATAGACCCTGTGTCATTTCAGACTAAAAATGGCAGTAGCCTTTTTAGCCTGAAAACGAAGGGCCATTTTCGGTCTGTCATCAGACCGACCTGCCCTGAAACTCAGGCACCGAACCAGGGTTTTAGGAACAGGCTATTTTTGGCCTATTCCCACGACAGTTGCAGCACCAGCCCCTGGCTCAGCTTGGCATTGGCAAGAGCAGCCCCCTGGACTGCCCGCCCTGCAACTGCCAGCAGTTGGAGGTAGTTACGAGGCAGGCCGAGATAGTACATAGGGACTTCCCATGCACTTCACGGGTAAGCAGGAGGCAGTCAGTAGTCTTCACGATTCTGCAACAACGCTCTTTGGAGGAGCGCTGCAGGAGTAGTAATAGCGTTAGTATTAGTCTTTAACGCTGGGCGCTAGTAACGTTAGCTATAGTCTTCAGCGTGGGGCGCCAAAGAAACTAGACTAGTACTAGAGAGAGAGAGGTTGGGCGGAGGCCAGGAGGACTTACCTGCAGCGCCGTTGCTCCAGCTTCGTCTTCGAGGTACCTGCAGCACAGCGCTAACTTCACAGGTTAGTACCTGGCTCGTGAGAGAGAGAGAGCTCTTCTTCTTCCTCTTCCCAGTCCGCCATTTCCTTCTCACCCTCTCGCTATCTGACTTCACTATGTCAACAAACTACGAGAGAGAGAGAGAGAGAGCTTGGTGACATTTGGTTCCTGACCCGACATTGGACTTAAGACATCTTGAAGAGGGATTATTTGGGACTTGTAATGAGACTTGGTGTTGACAACTTTCCCATCTCCCCCTTCCTCCTCTTCGTCTGATCCCCTCCTCTTCGTCTGTGTATGTCTGGACCTGGCGCCCCTATCCTGCGTATAGTGTCAGGCTCCTTCACTCCTTGTGATGGACATGATGTATGTTTGGTCTGTGTTGCAACAATGACTGGGCTAGTCAGTGGTATTCAAGCACTTTGTTGCGCTGCCTTATATTATGTGATAGAGGTCAGTCTCGGTCAGGTCAGGATTTGTATCTAAGTCTTCCCTGCGCTATAAAGCACCATTTTGTATGTATCGGAATGCACATTGCTTCTTGAGATTCTACTTGCACTTCATTGCCCATTCGGTCATTTTTATCACATTGTAGATCCTCAGTTATTATGTACATCGTCCATCTAGGCATGTAACAGTTGGTATCGGAACACCTCATGTGAATCAGGACAACCTGTTTTGACACGTGTGCGGGGACTGGGTAGCTGATTAGTCTTGATTAATTGATTAGAGCACACTAGTTAACCCCCACAATCACAATTTTGACCTCACTGCCGAAAATCGATTTTTTTTTTCTTTCTTGGATTTTCTTTTCTCGCTATTTCCGATGTGGGGAATCGCAATAGTGCAACATCTAAAATTTCCGTTTTCGTTTTCCTTCTGAAAAGTTGAAATTTTGTTGTTGAAAATACGGAATATCTTTATTTTCAAAAATTTCGATTTCCTGTTGCATTTTCCGTTGTTTGGAAATTCAGAATATTTTTTTTCTGAAACTCGTTTTTCTGAAAACAGTACAGGAAATCCCTCCTGCGGTTATCATTTTTCAAAATGCGCATGTGAGTAATTCAGAATATTTTGCTTTCGGGATTCTTTTGTTCGCAGTTCTATAATCATCTGCAGTCTAAAAGTTCGAGATTTTTTTCTCATTGGTAATTTCGAACTTCAAGGAAGATTGGGAGACCTACTGAACTTCCAAAACTCGGGATTTCGATTTTCTCGAATTTTTTTTGCAAAGTTCAAACTTTTCTTTTTTATTAGTGGCTCCTTATCTGGGCGAGTTTTCCCACCCACTCTCCCCACCTATGTTGTTGCCCCTCTCCTCTTATCTTCTCTAGCTGTCTTCGGGTACCCCTGCAGCGACATTGGTAAGTTGCCACGTCAGCATATCACTTCAGCAGGCCACGTCAGCAGGACACGTCAGCAGTACCACATCAGGGACAGGGAGTACCGCGTCAGCACGCCCCGACCTGGTCTATGTTGTTGCCATCACAAACAACCATCATGGACCATAAATCCAAGGAAACGGACGAGGCCTGTAAGGCCCGGATGCTGGTCTGGTGTACCGAAACCAAGAGACGGGTGGATGACGCAGCAACCGCAGCAAAGAAGAAGGCAGAGGACACCCAGAAGGCACGTCTGTTGGCAATCGAACAGAAGTGCTAGCAAGACGAGGCAGCAGCAAGGGCTACCATTGAAGAACGAATTCAATGACGCGAGAAGATATTCGGGAGAGAGCGAGTGTTGCTCACAATGGCAGCGGAATGGCGGACAGAGGCCGAAAATAGAAAAATGGAGTAGAGTGAAAACAAGATCGCTCTACTCCTCTCCCATCTCACAGACCTCCTAACCACGTGCATTGCACAGCAGGAGGACATCCATAGCCTCGACGACATGGTTCAGCAACAAAGACGAGCGTTAGATAGCCGCCTCCAGCAGTTCGAACAAACCATCGCCGCCCCAGTTGCCAGCTCCTCCAACACGTCTGATTGCCTCGAGGCTTCGGAGATTGACGTCGGATCCCTCAAGGACGGCGTGCAGTTACAGCACACCGAGACGCAACAATTGGAGCAGCGCATCTGTGCTGCAGCCGCCAACCCAAGTTCGGGACAGCGGGAGTCAACTCCAAAGTTCGATGGTCAAGAGATCTTCTGCGATTCGACGAAGACGAACCCGATTCCGTGGTTCTGCAAGTTTGAACTCATATTGCAGTTCCATCAGGTCAGCAAATACAAGCACCACACGTACTTATACTCCCGGTCGGGAGGCCCATGTCAAGCATGGATGGACAACCTCTTGTCCAAGTATGGGGTGGTCGCTGTAGAGTTGCACACCAAGATCAGGTGGGATGATCTAAAGGCGGCGTGCCATAAGCGGTTCCAAGTAGAGCCGGCGGAGATCAAGGCAATGGACAAACTCATGACCTTCGAACAAGGTACGTTGCCGAGTACTGACTGGATTGCCGAGTACCAACTCTTGACACCCGTCCAAGATATTCAAAATGGGCTCAAAAGCCATCCGCCACTATTTTATCTAAAGCTCATGTCGGGCATTGAGCAATGCCTTGACTCACGTCGAGGACACACTAACGACAACGACGAAACTATTTGACAAGGCCACACATATTATTGTCACGAACAAGGAGGCTAAGAAACTGCGTTCATCTGCAGCAGGCCCGAACATAGATCAGCATCGGCCGAAAGTGGCCGTGGTCGAGGCAGTAACGCCGTTTGACCAAACTAGCGAGGCCGTGTCTCCCAATGAATGGGACAGACTCGCAGCCGCCCAGGAAGGTGGCCACCCCGGCAAAGGCCGAGGGCGCGGCAAGGCGAACACAAACACCACATTTAACCCCGGGCCCAGCGCAGCAGCTTCAGCCCCATGGTCCAAATACGGTCTCTACGAGCAAGCATTCAAAGCTTGCACGAGATTTCACTATTGCCTATGGTGCAACAACAATCTACATGAGACAGTGGTCTGCCTGTCAAAAGGCAAGCGCAAATCGGGAAACAGAGCACCGTCGGGAGTGACTCGACGACACTCTCGCAAACAGGACGTTCGCGGCATCTTCTCCGTCCGACAGCGGAGGCTTATCGTCTTCAGGTGGTCCTTCACGGGATTCGGTGCGCAATTTCAATGCGCCGCATTATGCGCTCATCTCCACACGTACTTCTCCTTCTATGCACCACCAACTTTGTCGACGGATGACGAAGTCGCGGTGGGGGACATCCTTGAGTATGTTACCAAGGTGGTATGCGAGTTTCACAATCAGAGGTACAACGATAACAACGCACCGCTCCTCTATGTCCGCATCCAAGTTGGGCAAGCGTCCTGCAGCGCTTTGCTGGATAGCGGCACGTCTCACAATTTTATGAGTCAAGCCTTTATGCAAAGGGCTGGCCTTGGTGCGCAAATTCGAAGGAAGGTAAACCCGACGGCGATCAAGTTCGTGGACAGAAAGACGCAGCAACTTATCGACCGCTACACCGACGCTGCGCCGGTGTATTTCGCACGACGCACCTCATGCAGGCGAACCGGTGACGTTCGACATTTTGGACACAGACTTCAACATCATTCTGGGAATGCCTTGGCTTGCAAGTGCGGATCACAGGGTCAACTTCCACCGACGAACTCTTACCGTTCGCGACGCCTTTGGCGCCAAAGTGGCGTGTACTATTCCTCTTCCGCACCCTTTGATTCGGTGCCAAGTGGTGACGACCAAATCATTCCAGGCGACTTGTGCTTACGAGCAGCCCGAGGAAATCGACCTATGTTTCCTACGGACTGTCGCGGTAGCCAACTCTTCACCCACGGACTTGTCTTCGTACCCCCGGGTGGTGCGGTTCCTGGACAAGTTCGCCGACATCTTCGAGTCACCTACTGGTGTCGTGCCGGATCGGCCGATCTCTCACTAGATCATTCTTGAGGCCGGTGTCCTGCCGCCGAAAGGTTGCATCTATCGGATGACCGAGGAGGAGCTTGAAATCCTCCGCGCACAACTCGACGACTTGTTGGCCAAGGGCTGTATCCACCCTAGTAACTCCCCATATGGAGCACCAGTTCTCTTCGTCCGGAAGAAAAACATGGATTTACAATTGTGTATCGACTACCGCAAGCTCAACGCGCAAACCGTCAAGAATGCGGGGCCTCTTCCTTGCATCGACGATCTTCTTGAGCGATTGGGCGGCATGAAGTATTTTTTTAAGTTGGATTTGAAGTCGGGATATCATCAAATCTCGATCCCGCCGGACGATCGCTACAAATCCGCATTCAAGACGCGGTACGGACATTTTGAGCGGGTGGTCATGCCTTTTGGCCTCACCAACGCCCCGACGACCTTTCAAGCAGCAATGACCAATGAGTTTCGTGCAATGTTGGACCGGTTCGTGCTGGTCTACTTAGTAGACGATATTCTCGTCTATAGCCGAACATTGGAGGAATCTTCAACAAGTGTTGAAGACGCTCCGCCGCGCCAAGTATAAGGCCAACCGCAACAAGTGCGAATTAGTCCGGCAAAAGTTGGAATATTTGGGCCATTTTGTCACACCGGAGGGCATCAGTCTGCTATCGGACAAGATTCAAGTCATCCAGGAGTGGTCGGAGCCATGGAACGTCACGGATGTCCGCTCGTTCCATGGCCTCACTGGCGACAACCAGCGTTTTATCAAGGGCTACTCGAAGATCGCGGCCCACTTGACCAAGATTCAATGAGAGGATCGGTCGTTTGACTTTGCGCGGGAATCATTTTTAGCTCTCAAAACCACGCTATTATCTGTGGAGTTCTTGCACGTATACGACCCGCTTTTGCCTACATGCGTCATTTCGGATGCGCCTGGCTATGACAATGGTGCCGTCCTCGAGCAACACGATGGCGTGGACTGGCACCCGGTCGAGTATTTCAGCAAGAAAGCGTGGGTCGTAAACTCCATTGACGATTTACACAAGAAGGAGCTCCTCGCCTTCGTCCACGCGCTCAAGCAGTGGCAGCACTTCCTCCTTGGTCGACGCCAATTCCGATGGGTAATGGACAACAATCCGTTGGTCTTTTAAAAGACCCAAGACACCATCAACAGCACCATCGCTCGATGAGTCGATGGATGGTTTTCATCGACCAGTTCGACTTCTTTCCTGATCACATCCTTGGGAAGTCGAACCGTTTTGCATATGCTCTTTCACGGTGTCCGAAACGTTGTATCACGGTCTACTCAACCTTCGAGATCAACAACGACCTGTGGGACAGCTTCATCCGCGGCTACCAAGCCGACCCCGAGTTTCGCGACAAATACGCGAATTGCTTCTTTCCTAATCCGGCGCCTTCTCACTACCAGATCCAAGAGGGGTATTTGCTTGTCCACAAACGGGGAAGGACCCTCTTTGCGTGCCGAGTAACCCTCACTTGCGTACACGACTTCTTGGCGGGTTCCACGATGCTCCCGTCACTGGACACTTTGGAATCCATCGCACGATTGGCCGACTTCGCGAGCGATTTTGGTGGTCCGGCCTTCTCGGCGACGTTACACGTTATTGCGAGTCATGCTAGGTTTGCCGACGCTGCAAATCCTGCACCATCATCCATACGACGAGTTCTGACCATTACCGTTCCGTTTGAGGCGAAGGGAAGTAATTGCCATGGACATTATCGGCCCGTTCCCCAAGCATAAGACCGAAGTGGATGGGATTTTCACGGTGGTCGACCGACTCACCAAGTTCGCCATGTTTTTGCCTTTCCGCTATCATGCCAAGGCACCGGAGTTGGCCGAAGTCCTTTACGCCGGTTGGATTCGAACCAAGGGCTACCCCAAGGAAATCGTCTGCGACAGCGACACTCGGTTCATGTCCGAGTTTTGGTTGGCGCTCATCAAACGATGGGGCTCATCTTTCAAGCCAAGTTCGGCTTGCCACCCCCAAATCGATGGGCAAACAAAGAGGGCACATCAGACCGCACAGGTTCTCCTTCGCGCACTTATCTGTCCCGACCAAAAGGATTGGGTAGAACGGCTGCCGGATGTCAAGTTGGCCTACAACTTGTCCATCCACCCGGCTATCGGGATATCGCCCTTTGAATTCGAGCACGGCTCGCTGGTCACTTCGTCGTTGGACACCATTATTCCATGAACGACCGAGAGCGACGACCATCTTCTTTCTTGCGCCCGATGCAAGAGCTACTTGTCAAGGCACGCGACCAGATGGTCAAGACGTAGCAACGCGTGAGCCAATAGGCCAATCGCCAATGTCTTCCTAGCCCATTCTGCACCAACGATCTCGTTTGGGTCTCTGCCGTGGAATTCAGCCTTGAACAAGATATCTCTCGGCAGCGCCTTCCGAAATGGATGGGGCCTTGGCCGATCGTGGCACCTGCTCGGGATGCACCCTAGGGACTTTCCTTCACCATTTAGGTGTCCGCCCACTTGCCTGCCTACCCGGTCTATCATTGCTCCATGTTGGCTCCTTACACCCCAACGGAACATGACGATTTTCCCAGGTGACGATCACAAGACCCACCCTCTATGGACGGTTTTCAAGAGGTCGACGACATCATCTCCCAACGACAGTACAGCAACAGGTCAACCGAGTACTGGGTACATTTTGCATATTGCAGACACCGAGTTGACCGTTGGTTGACCCGTGCGGAACTTCAAGCAACAGCTCCAGACATTCTCGCACGCTACAAACGCAAGATGCTAGGCAAGTCGGTCTCTTCGACTCCACACCGCACCCACGTCGAGGTTCCACCTTCAGATCGCCACCTTTGCCCTCGCCCCGACTTGACTTCATAAGGAGGTGGGGATGTTACATGTTGCGCCTGCACACGAGGGCCATTTTCCAGGCCCTCGTCCCTCAGGCTGAAAGCCTGAAAACCAGGGCCTATAGGCCCCGTGTCTATTCACCTCGAAAGCCTGAAAAACAGGGGCCTACATACCCTGTGTCGTTTTAGACTAAAAATGGCAGTAGCCTTCTTAGCCTGAAACGAAGGGCCATTTTCGGTCTGTCATGAAACCGACCTGCCCTGAAACTCAGGCACCGAACCAGGGTCTTAGGAATAGGTTATTTTTGGCCTGTTCCCACGACAGCTGCAGCGCTGTCGTGCGCAATCGGTCCGGCACCGCACGGGGCAGCGCGGGACCCTCCCGGCCGCGTCACGCAGGAGTTGGATTTCAATCCTTCGTCGCAAAAATACATGGAGCTTCCACAAGCCGCTCCGGCCGGGTGCGCCAGCCATACCTCTCGTGAGCCTCTACGACAGGATAGGGCATACGCGAGGCACGACTTACCTACACCTTACGGGAGCTGTCACCTCCCTTCGGTGGGCGTATCCCCGCCGAGCTACCAGTCCACAGTACVAAAGTTAATCAGCTACAATCGCAGAGGTGGACCAGCCGAGGGCGTTTCTCGTTCGCTGTAGCATAGGGGGTACGCGCGGTAATACGCCTCTATCGGACCCGCACGCGAACCGACATCTTGGGGGGGTTGAGGTCCCAAGCGCGACTCATCGTCGGTCGGCTAGAACGCATCCCACACACCACGCGCACTCCACGTTACGAACACAAAAACATAAAAACATGTACACGCATACGAACGAAACAACACGACACAAACAACGCGACAACGCTCCTAGCCCCTCGGTAGCCGTCCCATAACTTTCCGACGCGAAATCGAATAGCCGTTGCGCGCGAGACTTAGGATAAAAACGCGCGGACGCAGGGCCTACTCATATCGACTCGCAATGCAAACGTACGCAAGCAGTCGCAATGATGGCGTACTATGTAGTGCCC